ATATAACATATTCTCAGGGGCAATCCTTCTATCATAGAATGAAAACCAGAAGACTCCTGATAAGCAATTGTCCTTTAAGTCCTTGAGTGGGTAGGAATCATACATACATGTGCATTTCCCTCCTAAGACTGCATTAGAGATGAATTAATGAATCCCTTCAGATTTCCCATCAAGGGTGTCTAAGACATCACTTTATCCCAAGGAGATTCCTGAACCTATAAAATAAAGCTGAAGCTCATGAGCCTGGGGTGAAATCAGCCTTGAAGCTCCGCTTGCCACTTTCCAGCCACCTGAATGTAGCTTTGGCGTACGTGCTCCTTCCATTCTAGCTCTGGAGAGATTTCATGAATACGCTCATTTTTCATTTTATTCACAATTTTTGTTTTCAGAAAAGGAGTCAGTTGAGATTCGGTGTGTCTGCATACTATTCTAAATGTATATTCAACCACGAGCACAATTTAAACTTTTATTTTAAAATATATTCACTTCATAAATAAAATTCAAGGCACATATAGAGTCTAAGCTAAATTACAAAATATGCCTCCTTTTAACAGCAATTGGATCTCAAGGTTGGCCGGTTTGTTTGTTTTTAACTATGTGGGGTTTTATTTGTTTCTTATCTGCACTCATCATTCCAGGTTAAAATGTTAAAATCAGGTCTAACTGTGGTGGCCATTTCCTACCTCCATCAACTGCACTGGGAATGAGAAATTGGGCACATTCTCTGCCTCTCAACCCACTTTGATTTTGTTATTCTTATTACTAGTAGCTAAGTTTCTATGTCTGCATTACATCTTTAATTCTAATTGAGTCCTCCAGCGTAGAACAGGTTTGTTTAGTTGTTACTGTTCTGTTTAGACCCAAGTGGTATAACTAGACACAAAGGAAAGTAAACGAAATCTGTCTCCATACTCCTGCTTCTGGACATATATATAATTCACACATGAGCTAAGATACAGTCACCTTTAAATTTGTTTTCACTTTTCCTCATTTTATGCAGGAAATGCTCAGTTACTTGTCTCTGTGCTCATATAACCCTTCTTTAATTTCCTCTCGCCTCTTTTGTTAATTTTTACCAGATCAGCTCCGTCTCAGGGCACATAAAGGTACTAAACTTACTGTACTTTAGCAAGCTGGAAAATTTTTGCAAGATATTTAATTATACTGTGTAAAGATATGTCTCTGTGATTGGTTTAATAAAAAGTTAAATAGTCAATAACTAGGCAGGAGATACAGCAGAAACTTCTGGAGAGAGAGCTCTGGGAAGAAGAAAGGTCCTGTGGAGCAATCTTTCTTTTGTACACTATGAATATGTATCATTATCATTGGCTAATAAAGAGCTCACTGGCCTACAGCTGGGCAGGAAAAAGTTAGGCGGGAAAATAAGAACAAGAGAATGCTAGGGAGAGGAAAGGCAGAGTCAGAAGAGCCATTGCCGGCAGGTTGTAAGGAGAAGCTAGATAGGCATGCCAAATTGTGAAAAGGTATCAAGCCATGTGACAAAGCACAGACAAGAAATATGGGCTAATTTAAATGTAGGAGTTGGGTAGTAACAAGCTTGAACTATTGACTGAGCATTTATAATCAATGTTAAGTCTCCAAGTCAGTTATTTGGGAAGCAGACAGACAGGACAGGAATACTTTACCTACAGAAAGGCAGAGTCACCAAAAGGCCACAGAGGGAGCCAGACATGCTCACAAATAAATAGAGCTATAGATAAATAAGATAAATAGATAAGTAAAGCACATAGATAAACAGAACTGGGTAACTTATAAGAGCTAGTTAGAAACAACCCTAAGCTATAGGTCAAGCTTGTATAATTAACAATAAGTCTCCTTGTCGTTTTTTGTGAGCTGATGGCCCAAATAAAAATCTGGCTACAGAAAATCATATTATTTGCTCACTTCATTGAAATTTTGAGTGGATGCAAAATTCTATATCTAGAGTTATTTCCTCGCACAAATCAGCAGCTGCACCCCCTGCTTTCTCTGCACTCTGAGCAATTACTAACTGTGCAGCAGCCGCTGTTCCCGGTGTGTTTCCATCTCTCTGTGCATGGTACCTTCCCCTGCAGCAGCTTTAAAGGTATTTTTTTTATTTATGTTTATCTGAAAATGAATGAGACTGTACAAAAAGACCTTAAATTCCATGTTTCTTGGCATTTTGGTGAAATCCTCATATTAAAAACTCATATTTTCACTCACCTTGGGATAACTGTACATTTTTTACAACAAATGGTCCTGTCATCTCTTGTATTGTTTTTTCATTACCTAATAACTGCCTTTTATTACACTAAAATGTTTTTATTTTTTGTAACTTCAAGGACTTCACTGAGCCTGTATACAAAAAAGAGAAGCATGTCTGTTAGCTGTCTTTACTTGAAACCAAAGTCGGAGGGAGTTTTGTATGTTTATCCAAAATTACTTGAACACTTAAAATAATATATCCTGCTGTTTCATGTGTTTGTGTGTGTGTGTAGAGAGAGAAAGAAAATGCTAAATATTTTTATTTTGAAATCAAAATTACACAATGAATCCCATTGTTTCAGGCATTGAGAGGTTATTTCACATCTGTTTTGAGTGTAGTAACTGATATCTTTCATTATACATGCATTTATTTTCATAGTATTGTCATTTATAGGAGGGATTTAAAAGCAATGTTTCCTTGACTAAAGAGTACTTTCCTTTCATTCAGTATTTTACTAGTAACTGTGTGGCACCTGAAAAGACAACTCTAAGTGGGTGGAAAGGGGGACCATCATGAGTTCAGCACCCCAGAACCCACCAGATGAAAAAAAAGAGAACTAATTCTTACTAATTGTTCCCTGACCTCCACATCTACTGTGGCATGCATGTGAGTGTGTGTGTGTGTGTGTAAAACATACATACAAGCTAAGTTGCTTATATTTATATATTTAGGAATACAAATGATTATACAGATGCATAGATGTATATGAAAAGAGGGACATGATTTGGAAAGAGAGCAAGGAGAGGTATATGGAAAAGTTTGAAAGGAGGAACAGAAAGGGAGAAATAGTGCAATTATATTAAAATTTCAAAAAGTAAAAGAAATTTTTAAAAGATTAGGACCATACTAAAAATAAGTTCCCATCTACAAAGAAAGACAAACAACAACATGAGTGTGATAAAAAAAAAAAAACACCTCTTCCCTAAGAGCTCAGCCACAGCATCTTTCTCCACACAGTGAAGCATACATGTGCACTCCTGCAATGCCCCAGGTACATCACGTATGACATAGCTCTAAAGCCATCTGAAACAGTCTTCATTCAGTCGCGGATTCCTTTCGGCATGCTTCACTGTGGACCCCGTGTATATATGACAATTAAGCACTGAAGAACTCTCCATGATGAAGAAACAAGCTACTGGGGTGGATCACTCACTGAACAACTACAGAAAGTCAAACACAGCTCCAGAAGCCACTAGATGGTTCTAAGTGGTCTTTTTTAACAGTACTTTTTGAGAATTTCACACATGAGCACTGCATCTATCTCTCTCAAATCTCTCACTCACTGTTCTCCAACTGCTTCCTCCCCTCCCAAATACATGACCTCCTCTTTGATGAACATTTTACATGTATTATGTATATACACGTGCACATGAATATACGACCTGCTAAATTTGGTAGGCTTTGTTTGTATGTGCATGTGTTTAGAGCTGACCACTTGGGATTAAACAACCTTTGTGGGAGTTTTCTCATGGGGGCAACTGATTCTTCCCTCTCTGACCTCCTGCTGTTCTTCACACAGGGATAGGGCCATGTTTTGAAGCCGTAATTACAAAACAATTAAATAGAACCTAGTGTTAATTTTAATCCTATTTCAGATTGTCAATTAATGCATAAAAATTCACTTCTGGATTTCAACAAATTCCTATGACTTCCAACAATTTCTCAACAACAGTAATTACTGTTGTTCTTGCTTCTTCCTTAACATCATTCACCCTGTTCTTGAACCAGCTCTATTGCCACTAAAAAGATTATAAATTAACATAGCCATCTCTGACTTAGCAGTTTGATCTCAGCAGCACTCTGCCTCAGGTGCTACCTGTATTTTTAATGCTGGTTGATGATTTCATTTTGCCAACTTGTCACTAATAATATATTTTAAAGATGATCTGCATTCTGCAGTATTTGAATGATGCCTTATATACCTACCTTACTGTCTTAGTTTGGAGTACAATAAAATACTGTGAGCTACAGAAACCTATTTCTCCCGGCTCTGAGGCTGGAAAGGACACCATCAACACAGTCAGATTCAGCAAGTCACATGGCTTATGTCCCCACAAATGGCAGCTTCTCCTGGGTTTAATGTCCTAGGAGGACCCAGGTGCTCCTGCCTATGTGACTTGATCACTTCCCAGGAAGTCTCATCTAATGCAATAATTTTGGACACTCAGATGTCAGCACATAAATTCAAGCACATACAAACATTCAAACCATCGCAAAATTATTATCTGGCCTAAATTTTTAACTACTTTATTTTGAGAACTTTTTAATAAATTCAATAGTCAACTTCATTTTTCAGTTTAGTTTGCTTAATTTCTTCCATTTATCCAGTATAAGTTATTTACAAAATTATCAACTGTCAGAAAAATTCAGATAGATACAGTTTAAAATGCAAGCTAATAGGACTTAAAGAATAACTGGTGAGTCTTGGATTCCAAAATATAATTAAATTATAAACAAAATGCTTTATGACTAAACTGAGTTGAACCTAAAGTGAACTTTCTATTTCAAATTCAACACATTAAGTTCAATTTTCATGTATGGCCTGTTAATAATGTCTTTGACTCTACAAATCCATGTAACCTGATCTCTTACAGCAATGTGTACTTTTGCTAAATATGGGAATACTAGCTAGTCAAAGACATTAGAGCAGGTTGCCGAGGTCCTTAACTAAGTCCCTAGTGTAATTCCTACATTACACAGTCTGCTCCACTTCGAAAGCTGCAAGTAAATTTGATTACAGGCTTCTCCTTACCGTATCTGGCACTACTGGAATTCTTTCTGTTCTTGACAACAAAGCAGCATTTTCGTTAATCATGTTGGGTAATTCATCAAGAATTCCACCAACCTGTGAATTTAAAATAAAAAAAAGCATGTTAAAACAAAGAGTTAAACGAGTATATCACTTACTTTATGTAATTAGCACTAGAAACAATAAACTTTCAATAAATGAAGCTTGGCAATATTATTGCCCCACTAATAGAAATAGGCAAAGATTCAAAATTTAAATTTTACACAGGATATACAAGAAAAAATTAAATTCAATGATTTAATAAAATGGAAATAGTTTGTTATAAATCCTGTAGTTAAGTATAATGGAGCATCATAAATTATTTAAATACATAAAGGGATGCTACTATGAGATTGTGTCTCCTAGGGATGTCAGAAGCTACACCCATAATGTCTCACCAACATTGCTGCCTAAACATGAGCTGAACAAGGGCAACAGCAACAGACATACTAGTGTGGACATGGGAAAGCCCAGGAGTCCTCAACACTAAGAACTACAAACAACTAAAAAACACTGAGAGCAAGATAAATAGTAGTTTCCACTGAAGAACACATCAGTGGGTTTACAATAACAAATGATCAGCCCTGAAACAAACATACAAGTAACATTAAGCAGACTGAGCAGGTTTTACATACATAATTAGTAATTTATATGTATATTCATATATGTATGCATATAGCAACAATTATTGAAAACTGAGACCATGGATTTGAAAGAGAGCAAGTAGGGGTGTATGAGAGAGCTTGGAAGAAGCAACTAATGGTGGAATTATGCAATTTTATTATAATTTCAAAAATTAAAAGTAACAAGCTGAGTGTGGTGATACATGGCTTTAATCCCAGCAAACAGAAGATAGAGGCAGGTGGATCTCTTGTGAGTTTGAGGTTAGCCTCGTCTACAAAGAAAGTTCCAGGACAGTCAGGACTGTTACACAGAGTAATTTTGTCTTGAAAAACAGGAAGATAAATAAACAAATAAAATAAACATATTAGAATTAATTTTAGCTATATCAAATATATTTAGATATCAATTACTTTTCAGGATCACAACCGTATAGTACAATCTCAATAATAAAAAATTAAAATTTATATTTTCAATTATATAGCATTATTTGTTAGCACTTTGTTATTAACACATAAAACATATTAGCTAAAATTTTACTTAATTATGTGCAGTTCTGAACTAATACAGTTTCTAAGTAAAATGATCAATACTCTTTTAATACGATAATTTCTCACAAGCATTGAAGATGCAAATCAATAAGCTAGAAGAAGCAGGTAATCTACAATTTTAATCTACAATTAATTAATCCCTGTGAAGCACTGCTTCCAATTTAATCTAATTTATTCATCTGGATTCATTTAAACTTTATAAATAGTTGCAACATTCTATGTTTATACACAAAGGATGACGGTTTATAGCCCCATCTTTATAGACCTCACTGTTTCCACTTCATAATTTAACATCTGTATTTTGTATTTCAGAATTTGACGTATAGTAGACAATGGTCTGATATATCTATTTCTTTATTCATTTTATGGTTAACATTAATTTACTAAAAAGCTGAACATATCCTTACATGTTATCTCTATAAAATTATCCACTCCTTTAGCCATAATGCTGAGGTTAGCTCTAGCAGTAAACCCAATTTTGTGTCAAAATGACAAAAAACTAAAAGTAAAGCGATAAGGGCCCTGAAAAACATGGGAATAGGGGAACATACCTCATAACAATAAAAGTACACGTGATAAACTTAAACCCAACATTACAGAAAATAAGGACAAAGTTAAAATATTTCCACTAAAACTGGGGAAAGTTGGAGGTATCTATTTCCAACAAATATATTACACTGGAGCACTAAGAGTTTCCCAATGTAAATTTAATTGCAGACCAGACAAATACACTAGTAAACTTTTTCAGAACCTTAGAGAAGAGCTGCTAACAGAAATGCTCCTCAAATCACTCACTAACTAAAAGGAAAATAAAAGATTGAGCTTATACGCACAAGCGTGAAGGGGGGGAAAGTGCAAGGCAGAAGTACACTAAGAGATGTTCAGAGTCTGACAAATAATCCAACATACATATGCATCAGGATTCAAGACGTGGGAAAGGACAGGCAGAAGAAATATATGAAGAAGCAACAGACAGGAATTATTTCAAATTGACGCCACACAGTAAGCCAAGATGAAATGGCTTTGCAATTTGGAGACAGATGCACTGAAAGGAAAGTAACACAGTCATATGGAATATGTAAAGGAGAGACACAAAAACATCACAGGAAAAATTCACTTCACAGGAAAAACAATATGGAGAACAACCCACGTCTCACCAGAAGACACATAAACATCACTAAAGTGCTGGAAGTAACCAGCAACCTAAAAATTCACACAGCCCCCAAAATTTCAAGCTTTATACAAAACCGACCTTTAAAGACAACCCAAGCCTACAATAACTCAGCAACAGCTGACCTATACAAGGAGAAACACGAGGTGTCTATTTTTCAGGAAGACAGAAAAAAATTCCCAACAGAAACCGGAAAATGCAGAAAGGAGTGAGCCACATGGTAATGGCATACCAGTGAATACAGGCAATGCAAAGTAGTAATATTACAAGAGTTTAAAATATGCAAATTTAGAATCTGGGATGATGTAGCAAAATGTAGTAAAAATGCTCTAAGTTAGGACTGTTAAAGAAATGATGAGACTAATTATTTTTATTTGGATGACAGTGACCAGAGAAGGCCACTAAGCCTCCTATGGGAAGAACAATGGAAACTAAAACTAATGAACTAATAGTACATTTTACACAAAGCATAACAAAACGTTTTAAAAACTGCTAAAATTCATTACAAGTCCCTTAAAATCACTAAGGTAGATTTAATGTTCTAATTTATAATCATAATTAAAATATGCTTGTATCAAAGTGAACCTTATTAAATACATAAAAAGATATGTAAGAAAAAGATTGAAATGAAGTTTAGAAATACAAAACAATCTGCCAATCAAAAGACTAAAATCCTTTAGAGCAGATATAGTCATGTTAAACTTCTTCATTGAGCAACTCATTAATAAAGTAGTGACTTCAATGGAAAATAAGTTGACAAAACCAGAAAGCTATTGAAGACTGTCAGATACACTGTGTGTGTGTGTGTAGGGGTGTGGTTGAGGGAATGAGAAGAAATACAGTAAAATAAAAATGTCTATAAATTAATTAAATGTAGATATCAGAGTATCCTATTGTATTCTGTTTCAAGTTACCAAATATTGTGAGTTTCAAGCACTAACAGAAAACACGGGCTCCTGAGCCAGAGACAAGAGGCTTGCTACCCATCGTGACATGGCATGGGTTCCAAAGAGCCACCCAACACCTGAGGGACAGCCCTTGATCCCACTGTTAGGAATCTTACAAGTAGACCAAGCTACACAACTGTCACATATATGTAGAGAGCTGGGTCGGTCCCATGCAAGTTCCCTGGTTATTGGTTCAGACTCTGTGAGCTCCTTTGAGCCAACGTTAGCTATTTCTGTGGGGGTTTTTAATACCCTTGAGCCCTCTGGGTCCTACAATCTTTCCTCCTCTTCAGCAGGATTCTCTGAGCTCAGCCTAATGTTTGGCTTTGGATCTTTGCATCTATTTCCATCAGTTACTGGAAGAAGGCTCTCTGAGGACAACTGGGGTAGTCACCAATTTATGAGTATACCAAAATATCTTTAGGCATCATTACATCGACTTTTTTTCCAATCATGTTTGGGTATATCCTAAGTCTCTGGGCTATCCAGCCTCTGTGGCCTAGCACTCCAGGCATACAGAATGAAGAAAGAATATTAAGAGCTGCAAAAGAAACTTGCCAAGCAACAAATAAAGGCAGACCGATCAGAATTACGCCCAACACCTCAATGAAGACTCTGAAAGCCAGAAGGTTCTGGACAATTTTTGAGCACTAAGAGACCAAGGATGCCAGCCCAGATGACTATAACCAGTGAAATTTTCAATCACCATAGATGGAAAAAAAATATATTCCATGACAAAACCACATTTAAGCAACAAACTAATCACAAATCCAAGCCTACAGAAAGTACTAGAAGGAAAACTCCAACCCAAGGAAGATAGCTAGCTACACCCACAAAATCGCAGGCAATAGATAACCTAACACCAGAAAATCCCAAAGAAGGGACACAAACACACTACCACCAACAACACAAAATCAGAAAATAAGAGGAATTAACAATCACTGGTCATTAATACCCCTTAATATCAATGGACTCAACTTGCCTATAAAGATACAGGCTAACAGAATGGATATGAAAACAAGATCTATCCTTCTGTTGCATACAAGAAACATACCTCAACTTCAAAGACAGATATTACCTCAGAGTAAAGGGTTTTAGTAAAGAGTGGAAGATTGCAACAATCCAATGGACAATACTGCCAGACAGAAACTGAACAGAGAATAAGGGAATATTATGACTCAAATAATAAAAGTAGCATGGTATTGGCATAAAAACACATGTGTGTGGATCAGTGGAATCAAAGTGAAGACTCTGACGTTAATCCACACACCTATGTACACCTGATTTTTGACAAAGAAGCCAAACTCATACAATGGAAAAAGAAAACATCTTCAACAAATCGTGCTGGCATAGCTAGATATCAACATGTAAAAGATTGCAAATAGATCCATAGCTATCACCATGCACAAAACTCAAGCCCAATGATTTCAAAGACCTCAAAATAAATTCAGTTACACTGAACCTGATAGAAGAGAAATTGAGAAGTAGCCTTGAATGCATTGGCACAAAAAAAAATCACTTCCTAAATATAACACCCATAGTATGGACACTGAGAGCAACAATTAATAAATGGGACCTCCTAAAACTGAGAAGCTTCGGTAAGGCAAAGGACAGAACAAATAAGACAAAACAACAGCCTACAGAACGAAAAAAGATCTTCACCAATCCCATATCTGACAGAGGATTGATTTCCAAAATATATAAAGAACTCAAAAATCTAGGCACAAAATATCAAATAATCCAATTTAAAAAATGGGATACAGATCTAAACAGAATTCTCAATAGGAGAAACTCAAATGGCTGAAAGACATAAAGGAATTATTAAAGGAACTGCTTAACATCCTTAGCTATCAGATGAATGAATGAATCAGATGAATGGAAATCAAATCTAAAATACCATCTTACCCCTGTAAGAATGACTAAGATCAAAAACACTGATGACAGCTTATGCTAGAGAGGATATGGAGTAAGCAGAACACTCCTCCACTGCTGATGGGAGTGCAAACTTCACAGCCACTTTGGAAATCGGTAAGGCAGTTTCTCAGAAAACTGGGAATTATTCTACCTCAAGACCCAGAAATACCACTCAGGCACATACCCAATGAATGCACACTCACACTACAAGGACATTTGCTCAGCTATGTTCATAGGAGCATTATTAGTAATAGCCAGAACCTGGAACCAACCTAGATGCCCCTCACCCAAAGAATGGATAAAGAAGCTGTGGTATAATTTACACAATGGAATATTACTCAGTGGTAAAAAAAATTACATCTTTAAATTTGCATGCAAATGGATGGAACTAGAAAACTTATCTTGAGTGAGGTAAACTAGACCCAGAAAGACAAATACAGTATGTCCTCGCTCATAAGTGGATATTAGATGTAAAGAAAAGGACAACTAGGCTACAATCAGCAACCCCTGAGAAATTAGGTAACAAGGAGGACCCTAATAGAGACTGGGACAAGGAAATAGATAAGATCTCCTGTGTAAATTGAAACTGTGCGAGGAAGAAGAGAGGGGTGAAGGGAAAGGGGGAGTAGAACATGAGGGAATGGGATGGTTGAGTTGAAGGAGGGATGGAGAGGGAGGCAAGGAAAAGATATCTCGATAGAGGGAGCCATTATGGTGTTAGAGAGAAATCTGGTGCTAGCGAAATTCCCAGGAATCTACAAAGATTACCCCAGCTAAGACACCTAGTAATAGTGGAGAGGGTGGCTGAACTGGCCTTCCCCTGTAATCAGTCAGATTGAATACCAACCGAATTTTCAGCATAGAACCTTAATCCCATAACTCATTGAAGCAGATGCAGAGATCCACAGCTAACAATCCAGAGCTTAGAGTCCAGTTGAAGAGAGGGAGGAGGGATTGTATGAGCACAGGAACAAGATCATGATGGGGAAACCTACAAAGATAGCAGACCCAAGCTAGTGGGAGCTCACTAACTCTAGACTGACAGCTGGGGAACCTGCATGGGACCAAACTAGGCTTTCTGAATGTGGGTGACAGTTCGGTGGCTTGGGCAGTCTGTGGGGCCACTGGCAGTGGGACCTGGATTTATCCACGGCACATGAACTAGCTTTTTGGAGACCATTCCCTGTGGAGGAATACCTTGCTCAGCCTCGAATCGGGGGAGGGGCTTGGTTTTGTCTTAACTCCATATGCTAGACTTTGTTGACTCCCCATGAGAGGCCTCACCCTTTCTGAGAAGTGGATGAGGGATTGGGTGGGGAGCAAGTGGGGAGGGAGCAAAAGAAAGGAGGGTGGGAGAATTGTGGTTGGTATTTAAAAGGAAAAATCTTTTAAATAAAACATTAAATAAATAAATAAAAATGAATCACAAAAATAACATTTTGCCATTAACATATCACCTGATAATCACAAGGTGCTGGACCACTGGAAACTTCTTTCTGATCTGTGATCAATGTTCGAGGAACAGTAGAACCAAATGCAGTTTTCTTTGGTTTCTTCAAGCAGGTGTTTTGAACTTTGGCAATTACAGTGTTACTTGCAATATCATAAGAACCAGGACCTAAAATTATGAAGAACATTATATATAAAAATAAGTACACTTTTAAGAACGTTTTTGAATTCAATAACATTAGGTAAATATTTTAAAGAGGGGTCATATATTTCTGGCCAAATTAAAATGGTATAGATACTTTTTTAAGATATATCAAAATATTATTATTCATATTAATGAATAAATATGAATTAATGTCAGAAATATGCAAAAAAAGCAGTGACAAAAGTCTAAATGATCATATTTATACAAAAATTTAGAAAATACAAGTTCAGAACAGTTGCCTGGGACAGTCATGGGAGTGGACATTAATGTCAAGGGTGCTTGTAAGGAACTTTAAAGAGTGATGGGATTGTTCCAAACCTTGGTAATAGCAGTGGTTGTCCTTGTGAAAGAAAGCTGGCAGCCTGAGACCATTTGGAAGTCACGTACTATACTGAGCTGCAGGGACCACTCAAAGAAATCACTGACAAAAAAATCAATGTGCTGAGAAGGAACACCCTGAGAATGGTACTAACTACCTTCATCCCTAGTGACAAGATCCTGGACCGATAAGACATCCAAGCAGAGCTACCAAAGGAAACTATCGCTTCCAAAACAATTTTTCACAGGATAAGTTACCTAAACACCCTCCTCTTTCTTGCCTTTAGTAAGACTCCTTACATCCATACCTAGTAAAACATACTCTAATCTTCACTAGTATCCTAGTTTGGTTTCTGTTGCAGTAATAAAAACATTGACCAAAAGCAACCAGGGCACAGGAACCATCATACTGAAACAAATGCATACAGATCAGTGTCTATCATCTGAGACTTACAGTCTGGGATCCAAAGAGTTTGGGCTGCTCCACTTCTCCTGCCCTGCAACTCACAGTACACAGCTTGTCTTGCAAATTTATGCTGGTTCAACTGCACACCTTCCACTGTCTTTAGTGGTCACCCCATACTCCTGGCATCTCAATGTGCTAAGATATTCTCTGCAACAGAGGCTGCCCCTCCTGGGCTCTCTCTGTGGACTCAAACCCTGCTTCAAGGTGCCAACCTCAACTTCTCAACAGTTTCAAGCCTGAATGGGGCCTCCACTACAACCGAGGTTACACCTGTGTCAATGACCCCCTGGTTTCTCTACAGGGTATCCAACCTTCCCAAATGGTGCCAAGCAGAATCTATTCTCTATAATCCCTTTAGGCCTTCAAAATCGGTACCATATAGGAGACTCACTATCCATAAGCAAGTTTAGCTACCAGCCTGAGATACACCCTTAACCCCCTAGACCACATTGTCTGTGTGCTGACTGAAAAAAAAAATACATCTGAGAGAATACATCTCAGAAGATTTTGCCTCAGTGATGCTGTTATCTTATCAATCACAACTGATCCCAGTGTGCTAACTAGAACCAACTGTCCCAGTAAAGCAAACATTTTATTTCCACGGATTCTTGTTTTGTTTTGTTTTGTTTTGCTGTTGTTGTTGTTGTTTTTCAAGACAGGGTTTCACTGTAACTTTGGAGGCTGTCCTGGAACTAGCCCTTGTAGACCAGACTGGCTTTGAGCTCAGAGAGATCCGCCTGCTTCTGTCTCCCAAGTGCTGGGATTAAAGGCATGCACCGTCACCACCCAGTTACTTCCCCAGATTCTTAATCCAAAATTTCAGACAAACAGTCCCAATAGTTGTTGCTTCTCTATGAAACTTCACAAGGCAGGCCTACAACCTCCACATCTCAATGAACATCTTGTCTTCTATGCTTTCATAACTTCTGGACATTCAACAGCTTTGTCTTTCCCTAAGCTACAAAAACCTCCTAAGAAACACAGTCTGGTCCATTAAAGCAACACCATCAAGATATCAGCACCAGTTTTCTGTTCTGGTTTTACTGTAGGAACTCAAGACAGTAACCTGGGTGCAGAAACTGAAGCGGAGACAATAAAAGAACACTGCTTAGTGACTTGCCTACCCTGGCTTGCTCAGCTACATGTCTTATATAACACAGGCCAACATATCCAGGAATGATACCGCCCACAGTGTGTTGGGCCCACCTACATCAAGTAGCAATCAAGGAAAATGTCCCACAGCCATGTCCACAGGCTGATCTGGTGAAGGCAATTAGTGAGATGAGATGCCTCTCCTCAGCTAGGGTTGTATCAACCTGATAAGAAACCTATCTATGACAACTAAAATCTGTGCTACTCAATATCAATTATAAGTACTGTTTTGCTTAATATAGCATATGAGCCTTTTTGAATGACAGCTGAATAATACATTTATCAGATCATATACCTATGCATTTAAAATCCTTTTTATTATGTGTAAACTAAACCTCAATAGAGAATACATGAATATATCACAAAGCTAAACAATGTTAGAAGGTTGATGTAAAATGTATTTAACATGCAAAGAAAATCATCTGTAGTCTAATTTTTCTGTCACCACACACATTCTAGTTTTTTACCCTTTCTTTACAGTAAAAGGTATAACTCAGAGTATTTCTATAGTGGTAGTCTGAATGAATAAAGTTTCACATACTTTTCATACAAAAGAAAATAAACAACTTTCTATGATGTTGAAAGTTCATTGTTAAGATAGTCAGATACTTGTAATAAATATTTAAGTATCCTCTGAATTGCTGTTGGACAATGATCTTGTACCCTGTAAAGATTTGCCACTTATATTGGTTTAATAAAAAGCTGATTGGCCAGTAGTCAGGCAGGAAGTAGAGTCGGGATGACCAGAATAGGAGATTTCTGGGAAGAGGAAAGGCTTAATCTGTAGTCATCACCCAGACACAGAGGAAGCAAGATGAGAATGCCTTACTGAGAAAAGGTACCAAACCACGTAGCTAACACAGACAAAAATTATGGATTGATGTAAGATGTAAGAATTAAATAATGAGAAAGCTTGAGCTAATAGGCCAGCCAGTGATGTGGGAGTGTCATATATCAATCTGTTGATTTCATTGGTTAAGTTATAATAAACCAACTGCTTGGCCTCAGCTTGGAACATAGATGGGAGGAGTAAACAGAATAGAATTCTGGGCGGAAGAGGAAGTGAGGTCAGACTCTGCTCTGCTCCTGGAGAGACGCCATGCTCAGCTCTCCCGGGTAGACCCAAGAGCTCTGCTCTCTGGAGCAGAGACACCACGATGGACTTTGGCTAGAATCTTCCCGGTAAGCGCACCTTGGGATGCTTACACACATCATTAGAAATGGGCTAGTCCAGATGCGAGAATTGGCCTGTAAGGGCTAGAGTTCATGGGTCAAGCAGTTCTTTAAATGAATACAGTTTGTGTGTTGTTATTTCGGGCGTGAGCTAGCCAAGCGGCTGGGGTGTTGGGGACGCAGCCCCGCCGCCGCTCCTATTTCAACAGATGGCGCCCAGACGTGTGGCTAACTGAATCCACAAAAAGCCTGAGAAAGCTGGGGAAAGAATGGAATGAAGCATGTTTTCTTGGTAGCAACAAATTTCTTGGGTCTACTCTGCTTGCTAGAGGCAAGCAAGCGCTCTCATCTAAGAGAGGCTTCCTGACTCAGCTTCAGCTGCAAAACCCTGCAGCTCATTAAGAGGTCCTGCCACGAAACACTTAAACGGTGTTGGTGAAAAGCTGAACGCATGCTTTTCGGTTTTCAGCCGTAGCAGGAAAAAAGCTGTGCTGTTTAAAAATGCCGGCTTTCTGGGCCGTCCTGCCAGGGCAAACTCTGACTGAGGCAGGAGGGCCAACTACCGAGAGAGGACTTGACTGTTGTCTGTTGTAGCTCGCTGGCTGGCAGGGACCTTGAAACGCCATAGAATTGTGGCTATAAACATGGCTACAGCCTGTATCTCCGCCATGAGGCTGGAAAGCTAAGGAATGGACTGGATCTAGCTGGCAAAGCCACGGCTTTAATCCTACTCATATTGCTCAGTAATTTAAAGGCTCGTGTGGTCAGAAAAAGAGAGATATACAGTAAAGAGATTCAAAGATAAAGAAAATGTTTAAATGATTTACAGTGTGTTAAAAATATATGCAAGCTAAAAGTTAAAAGTTTTTAAAAAAAAAGTAAGAAAAAGAGAAGTTGTGTGTGGTAGTACACGCCTTTAATCCCAACACTTGGGAGGCAGAGGGAGATTGACCTCTGTGACTTCAAGGTGTGGTAGCACACGCCTTTAATCCCAGTGCCTAGAAGGCAGAGACAAACAGATCTCTGTGAGTTCAAGGTGTGGTAGCAAACACCTTTAATCCCAATGCCTGGGAGGCAGAGACAGGCGGATCTCTGAGAGTTCAAGGAGAGCCTGGTCTACAGAGTTATTCCAGGTCAAAGAGATACAGAGAATATAAAATAAAAGTAAAAATAAACGAAATAGAGGTTAAAATAAAGCGTACAAAGATGGAAAATACACAGAGAATCTTGATACTGTATACTATTATGCTCTCTTTGAATTGTTTGAATGCTGAGGAAGGAGCAACAGATGCTAAAAGATATTTGTTTATAAATGCTGCTGAACTAATCCATCGTAGAGATTTTGATGCCTTGACTTTGAAATTTGGATCTAAGGACATGATACTTTGGAAAGGAGTTTCTTATTTTGTTTTCACAGAGGATGAGACCCTGTTCATTTCTTCTATTCCGATATGGTATGATGGACCACGCCCTCCTGAACGGTTGCTGTGAATACCTTCAGAAAATTGCTTCGCTCAACTGCCAACTGAGATGAAACTAGCACACAGGTTATACCATGAAAGACCTAATTAACGACGCCCCCATTCAGCAGGAAGCAGTTTGGAGAGAAAAAACTGCGCCCATGTTCCCAAATATTGTTTATAAATGTTCTTTTACATTTAAAGGGGGAGATGATATAGGTATGAATAATTTACATTGATATGGATTTTGCTTTAGTGATTTAAATTTAAGGTTAATTTTGTAATGTATATAGGTTGTTAATGAATAATCATTAATAATAGTTAAGTTTGTAGTCATGTTAGTTAAGATTTTCTAGATGTGCATAGATATATTTTAGATAGGCATTCTTCATATTTTTCAAAGATTATAGAATATGGCATTTTAAATGTTTTAATAACTTAGGACTTTTCATGACAATGAGACACTCTGCTCCTGGCAGCACCAATCTACTTCAAGAGGAAGATGGGCATCGAAGAGGATCCTTATGGAGTTTGATAGCCATTTGGGCAAGAAACTGCTCTTGCCTGGACTATTGCATAAACTGGACACAGAGAACCCGCAGAGAGAGGACTGCTGAACTTGCCTAAAGGTGAGATGATCTTTCGGGGTTCCTGATTCATGAAAGAGTCTGCAAGACATTCTTCAGGACAAGCAGATAGTGACTGCCTTTGAAATTTCCTGCTTTGTGGAAATGTCTGCTGGAAACTATGGGCCTGTAGGCCGAAGATGGATGCCCCAACGGTACAGAGGAACTTTGGGTGACTGTCCAGGCAGCGAGATGTCTCTGTCATTTCTAGAGTTTGAAAGTTGCTTATTTCTTGTTTGCTTAGGTAATATTGTATCTTTCTGGACTCTTTGATGGAGTTAAGAATAGTTAGCTATAGTTATAGTTTTCCTTAGTTATGATATAGATTATTGTAATTTTTACTTGATAACTGTTTTGTTATATGTAATTTTGCGATGTTAAGTTAAAGCCTTTCTTTTTTTGTTTAAACAGAAAAAGGGGAAGTGATGTGGGAGTGTCATATATCAATCTGTTGATTTCATTGGTTAATTAAAGAAACTGCTTGGCCCTCATTGGTTAGACATTGTTGGGAGGAGCAAACAGAATAGGATTCTGGGCGGAAGAGGAAGTGAGGTCAGACTCTGCTCTGCTCCTGGAGAGACGCCATGCTCAGCTCTCCCGGGTAGACCCAAGAGCTCTGCTCTCTGGAGCAGAGACACCACGATGGACTTTGGCTAGAATCTTCCCGGTAAGCGCACCTTGGGATGCTTACACACATCATTAGAAATGGGCTAGTCCAGATGCGAGAATTGGCCTGTAAGGGCTAGAGTTCATGGGTCAAGCAGTTCTTTAAATGAATACAGTTTGTGTGTTGTTATTTCGGGCATGAGCTAGCCGAGCGGCCGGGGTGTTGGGGACGCAGCCCCGCCGCCGCTTCTTATTTCAACAAGCCAGTTTATAATAAATGTAGGCCTCTGTGTGGTTTTTTGGGGGACTGAATGTCTACAGGACTGGGTAGGGCAGAATCTTCTATCATCCCTCTGAATAGTTCGATTTTTCTTCAAGCAAAGTCTGTTTGGGTGAGTAGATACCCATCAGAGAAATATGACATACTTGAATGAGTACTTCAAATTATGCATGTTCTATTGAATTGACTCTGTTACTTGACCTCACTAAAACTTCACTATATACTGATTTGTCTGCTTACCATATAGTCAATAGTCAGATTTATTACTTTAATTAATACCAACAAACATAGAACTTTAATAAATTGAATTTTCTCATGTATCCATAGAATGATATATTATTTGTGTTTTAATAAAAAAAATCTTGCCTGAAGATCAGTGCAAAGTAGTCATGCTAGTCATCCACACAGGCCAAGCAGTAGTTGTACAAACCTTTAATTCCAGCACCTACACTAGTTAACCATAAGGGCCAGGTGATGGTAGTACATGCCTTTAATCCCTGCACTAGAGAAGAATATAAAACAAGAGGAGACAGGTCATGAGCTAAGTCCTAATCTGAGGATTCATGGAGGCAGGATTGTCCATTTTCAGTCTGAGGTAGAGGCAAGAGCCAGCGGCTGGCTGCTTTGCTTTTCTGATCTTCAGGTTGAACCCCAATATCTGTCTCTGGGTTTTTATTTATTCATGCTACATATCTACATATCCATCTTGTGAGGACAAGAAGTTGCATGCAGTTAGAGTGGAAGAGTAACAGCAAACCTGGCATTTCCTGTGCCGTGCAGTCCTCTATGAATCGGGCAGCACTTTGCCCAAATGGAGACTTGTGTCCTGATCTTTTCTTTGAGCACTTAAAAGCAGTTCGTGTTTCATTATATGTGCCAGGAGCTGGGGTACTTGATTTGATAGACGCAAATCTCTAGGAAAATGAAAAGAAGGAGGAGGAGGAGGAGGAGGAAGAAAAAGAAGAAGACAATAAAGATGAGTTAAGATCTTTTGAAATGTAATATACTTACATGGCTTTTGGTAAAGGCTCTTACATACTAATACTATTATGCGCGCATGTGCCTCACTTCCTTAAGAAAGAAATAGTGTTGAGATGAGATTCTAGATCTAGATGACACGATATGGACAATTTTCACTTCTAAATACTCTTCACCCAATAAACTGTATGACCTAACATGATTTGTGTGATAGATTTGTGTGTGCATATATGTGAGGGGTCTATGTGTGTGCATGTGTGCGTGCATGCGTGTGTGTGTGTGTGTGTGTGTGTGTGTGTGTGTGTACAAATGTCTGCATAGGGGAGCCGAGGTCAAGTCAGAAGTCTTCAGCTGCTCCTCCACCTTAAATACAGAGTCTTTCATGAACATGGAACTCACTTGTTGGGTAGACTGGCTGGCCAGAAAACCCCAAAAATCCTCTTGTATTTACCTTCCAATACTGATGTAGTCAAATACCGGCTACCTGGAGCATTTCTACCTTCTAGCCCCTATGCTATGGTAAATAAAATAATTGCCCACGTGTTCCCATTTGCTTTTGCTTTTAGAAAGATTTTTTAACTCTTTCTATTCCTCTTGATTTTTACCACTTGTGAATAAATGAAACACTGCCATGCTTCCAAAAGACAAACCACACTTTATTAAAAGCTTCAAAGAAGTACTCATTGATGCCTCTCATTTTCTCTCTACATCTATGTGATCTTGCCTGTGTTGTGGGTAGCAGTTCCCAATGAATAACATTTTCTTATTCCATGGTGGAAATTCATCCATAGGGTGGTGAATTTCATAGTACTGGTATAATATCAACCAACTTGCACAGGTCTAGGAACCACCAAAGCTCTCGGAAGTTGATATGAGTGCACTGCATCTGAGAGCCATCCAGTTGCTTGCCATCCTTTCCAGAGAGCCTACGACATTGCTCTCCAGCTCATCCGGTGTGTGTTTATAAAACCAAGCAGTCGTGTGCATGTTTTCCTTTTGTCCTTCTTTCTTATACATAATTGCAGTGGATCAAATGTCTGCATTCTGTAATAATAACAATAATTAAGGCCAACTAAGGGCCTCTAAGAGGAACAAGGGAAGGACAGGTTGGCTCCTGGGTATGTCAATTTTTAAAATATGATGAGTAATTCTAAAGTGCTTCCAGAATTTTCAACCATGGTTACAAAAAAAATAACTGCATTTTGTAAAGTATTATGTGAAAACATGAGGAGATTCATTGCATTTTGGTAAAATACTGGACCCTTCCTGAAATATGTCTAAAATTTCCCAGAGGCATAACCATATTTACTCCTAAAAAGCAGAGAATCTGACCCTAAGTCTACCTTCTTAGTTGAATTATTTCTTTTTCTATTGTTGTAATTAATGTATCTTTTCATAAGGAACTAAACATACTACCTCTATCAGGCAATCATGTTCGGTTTTATTAAATCCTCTGTGTCTTCTGCCATTATTCTGTTTTTTTTTACTATCATCCATTTGAACAAAATTATTTTTTTTCTTTTCCATTCATAAAATATAATTTAAATGATTGGTAACAAATGACATAAAATTAGAACTTTATATATTAAATGAATGAAAGTTGTATAAAAGCTAGAAAGTAGTTATAAACTGTATTTTTAAAAATCAAGGGCATACGCACATTCACACACACACACACACACACTGTCCTTTTATGCAGTTCCTTAAGTACTATTAAGTTGCTCAAGACTAAAATCTAATATTCACTCTTGAGCCTCTTCAGTCCCTCAATACAACATCTAACTCGTTAAAGTGTAATCTTAATTATATCTATAAAATATATCTTTAATCTATCTACCTGTCTCCAAGGAGGAGATCTTAAATATAGTGAAAGCAAAGTGGTTGTCTATAGTCACCTGAAAGTTAATAACTTTCCCAAGTTAAATAAAATAATCAGAGCTACATATAAAACAAGCAGATAAATTTCACGACCACCTTATCTGATGGCTGCAACATCATAAATGTTTATCGTTCTCTCAATTTTCTTGCTCTAGAAATACATAAACACCTTTTAGTATTTTAGGATGTTCCTTGAATTATGGGAAGCAGCTATTCTGACTGCAGCATCACTGGTAAAGGTCCCGTGGCAGTTACACATACGATCAATGGCAGGTATGACAGAACACCAGTCTCCAAAATTCATATATTTCCACATGGGCTACACTTAATACTCCATGCATGCAACTGGCAAAATACATATTAGGATTCAGAATAAAATTGCTATTTCATCTGAACTGAATGTTCACATATTCAAATCTTATTAATAGGAAATATTTAACAGATATTCCCAGTTGAAATATTCATCTATGTATTATTGTTATTACTCAGTCTCATTTTACGAAAGTCTACCTACAACTTTGCGGTTTTGCTCAGGTCATGCCCATTTCTAATTTGCTGTACGTCATTTTCCTTTTTATAATTTCCTTAGACACCTTTGGATTTATTACCAGACTCACATCATGCCTATTACACTATGTAGATGAAAATGGCTGTACATCATTACCTCGGATTCAGAAAGGAAAACGGAAGATGCATCATTTGCATTTGCTGTGATACTCTGTGTCTTCTCAAATTGACTTTTAATTTCATACTTTCCAGGTCCTGGTACTCCCTAAGTTACAGAAAGAAAGAAATATATTAAGAAAGGATTTTCTTTCTACAATATCTAAGAAAAGACTGGATAATTCTTATAGGCTATTACCAAAGCCTATCATTAAGAGGAAAGCAGGGGGGGAACTTCCTAACAGCAGAAAAAAGAAAAATAAATAAATAAATAAATGTCCTGGGCAAAGCTTCATTTAGTGCTGAAAGCATACTACCTGAAACTTTGCTGCCCTCTACTGATAAAGTCCAAAATATTCCTCATTTTTCACATGACAAACTATAAAAAGAAAGAAAGAAATATGATTTAAATTGTCCTTTCATTTCGAGGTCTAGAGCTAGCCTTTCTTCTTAAGAGTGTGTCTGGTCTGGAGTGGAGTTGAGGAGCTCCTCCTTATCATGGGCACAGGCTTCAGCACAAAGCAACAACAGCAAGAAAAATTCACTGTCTTCTCAAACTTCCATTACTCAATATCCAAACAAATGGGCAACAGGAAATAATTTATTTCAAACACAAATGCTTAATGCAAAAAAACTAAACTTTCACTTGAGTACTTGAATAAATAAAAATTAATCTTATTAATCACAGAGTTCCTTATTATTGTAAGACAAGATAAAATAGATGATAGAAAGTAATAGACAGAGAGATAGATGACTGATGATAGATAGATAGATAGATAGATAGATAGATAGATAGATAGATAGATGATAGATAGATAGACGATAAATGAAACACAATAGATAGATAGATGATAGACAAATAAATACTCATTAGTAAATACCTTATTACCTTGATACAGTATAGTTGGTGATAGAAATAAGTAAACAAAGTTAAATTCACATATTTTCATATATCTCTCATATGGTTTTCCACAGCTAAAGAATTTCTCACTGAAAGACTGTGAAATACAACCATCCTGGCATGACAGAACCAATTCAATCATAATATTACAGATGACAGCAGATGTGACTACTTCCAGTGATCTTACACAAGACTAGGATTGTCAAGAGTCAATCACAGATCAACAAAGAGCTCATAGGACTTCACCCTTCACTACTGAGCTATTAACAAATAGATACTGAGGAGAGGTAGACATCAATTCAGTCACTCAACCACTAATGCATCACACGCCCATATTCAAGTCTAAACACATGGCCACATAGATAACTCTAGTTAAACTCAGCAAGTTAGAAAATAGAAAATAAAAACAAATCTTAGTACTTGGGAGGCAGACACAAGTGGATGGCTGTGAAGTCAAGACAAACCTAGATTATCTAGCTAGCTCCAGACCAGCCAGGGCTCCATGATGAAACTCTGTCGCCAAAAATCAAAAAAAAATAAAATAAAATAAAATAAAATAAAATAAAATAAAAATTTGTTACTTGGAAAAAAGTTTTGTGGTGGGAGTTACATCGGAACTCCCTACCAGAAGAGAAAAATATTCACCAACCTTACTCCAGCAAAGTAGCGGGATACAATATTTATACACAAAAATCAGTATCCTTCTTATATACAAAAGACAAATCAACTGAGAAATATATTAGGGAAACAGTACCTTTCATAATACCTAAAAACAAATAAAGTATCTTTGGGTACTTAACCAAGCATAAGAAAAACTTGTGCCTTTAATCCCAGCACTCGGGAGGCAGAGGCAGGCAGATCTCTGTGAGTTTGAGACCAGCCTGGTCTACAGAGCTAGTTCCAGGACAGGCTCCAAAGCCACAGAGAAACCCTGTCTTGAAAAAAAAAAAAAAAA